AGCCATGCATAAATAATAATAAAATAGTCTGGAAAATTGAACAAGCAATGATGTAATTTTCTAATCACAGGCCTTGGCAGTGGGCTCTACAACACAATTTTATCTTTGCAATTAAGGCCATAGTCTGTCTTCTCTACTAGAAAAGAGGTGGAGGAGTTCAACTATGTCCAAATATACTGTTCAACAACAAAACGTTTTTCTTCTGCATGACGATGTATTTATTTAATCCTTTACAAGAATGTTAGGTACAGCTCTCCTTCTTAAGTTCTTAGATCAGACTGAATTCTTCACTCCTGCCAATGGATGATACAGCCTTTTAGCATATCTGAAGCTCAAATGATCAAAGTGTGAGGGGGAAGTAACCTTTCCAGCAGTTGCTTTCAGTTTTCTCATGCATAGTTTAATCAGTGCATTGAGAAGTAATGCTCTACAGGGATGGATACACAATTAGCCCCTGCAGTCTCACCAGAGTTTAATGGGTGATCTGATGCTAACAGCATCAGTTTCTGCCATCTGTTCATAAGGGGACCACTGACTGTTCTGTGAGCCCCTTTGTTAATCATGCTAAAGGGAATTTGGATGACTAAAACTGAATTGTTTGAATACTCCCATCCAGCAAAACCATCAGTGCAGTAAATAACTGAAATAGGAAAAAAACAAAAAGTAGAGCAAAACAAATTATTTAAATACTTAGTTCTAGTTTCATCTTCACAGTTCTTTTTATATAAAGAGCTGCATACCAAGTACAGTAGCAAAGAAACTGTATTTGTTCAGTAGAAATAAATAGTCCAATAAATTTTTGATTTTTATATGCTTAAGTAAAAACTATGCTTTCACAAATATGTTTTATTACATAAGTAGTCTAAGTGACAATTTCTTTTATATAAACTATAAATAATTTGAGGAAGAATATTACCGCTTGTAGTCTGTTTCAAACTTATTGTGTTGCATGTCTTGTTCTGTCTAATTTCTCATACATGTTTTGTTATTATTTCTGATCCCTAGTAAAATGTGGGGAATTAGAATACCAGATGATATGGAAGAAACAGTGGTAAAACTAAGTACACTTTTATGTTTGTATAAGAATATAATTAATTGTATGAGAACCTATTCAGGAAAACAAAAATTATACAAGTGAAAGCACAGTTATTTAAATGTTTATATTGAAAGAATGAAATAGTTGAAGACAGTAATTCTAAATTCAGTGAATTACTTATACTTGCTATGTTTCAGTATTTGCACAGATACAATTTAGAAACACATTTTAGGAGAGTTCTGCAGGGTATGAAATAAAGACATGAAGCAAAGATAAGGATTAAAGTTAATCAAAAGCCAAGCATAACAAAAAGCAGGAATATCTAGATCATTAATTATCTGTTTAAACATTAATTCCTTGAAGAATAGTCCGCATTAAAGATATCCCTGAGAAATCTGTCTACAGGAAGGAAAGGCTTTTCACTCTAAAATTGTTTGTTTGGATGTTCTAATTAGTCGTTTAAGCATACTTTAGTTTGAAAGCAGCTACAAATTAAAATGTTGTCAATAAGAACATGCCTTTTCAACAATGACCATCATTGCTTGGATTTATTCTTGTCTAATCAGAGTCTGGGGAAATATCTGTTTCAGACTAGTTTCCACATTTGTACTGAAACAAAGTTAAATTATTTTCACTCCCTTTACATGAGCTGAACAAACTCTTGGCTACCATCTTGCTCTCTCTTCCTTTTTTGTTTATGTGTCCTGGTTCCAGCCTGGACAGGGTTAATTTTTGCAGTAGCTAGGAGGGGGCATGGCTAGGACCTGGAAGTTGTTCTATTCCACCACACAGCATTGATGGGGGTAAGGGGAATGGAGTTTCTTGCAGAAAGATGAGGTTCTGGCTGGGGTAGGTAGCATGGCTGCAGTCAGGTCAGGTTAAGTTCCATGGTGAGCATTTTGGCATGTAAATCGCTCTCTTTTCTATAGTTTTGATATTAATATTGCTGGTGTTACTGTTTATTTTCTTATCTCATTACTGTTTCCAGTAAATAGTTTTTATCTTAACCTGTGACGTTTTCCTGGTGTGCCTCCAATTCTCTCTAGCCTGCTACATTGGGGAGCAGAAGGGGGAACAAGCAAGAAAGAGTGTGGTTTGGAAGTCTCAGTGGAAGGACTAAATTGGGAGCAGAGCAAAGCTCCCACTGTGCTGAGCTTAAAGGAGGATTTCATGGTAATCTTATATATGAAATATCTGGATTCATCGGAGGGACCTGGATGAGCTCAAGAAGTGGGCCCATGAAGATCTCATGTGGTTTGACAAGAACAAATGCAAGGTGCTGCACTTGGGTGAGAGCAACTCTCATTATCAGTCCAGACTGGGGAATGAAGATTGAGAGCAACCTTGCCAACTTGGTTCCAGGACAGACCTGTTGCTGGCCAAAACAGTCTGTTAGCCATGGTGGCAGAACCTTGGGGAAGGATAAAAGATTGCTGTACACAGTTGTGAGAAAAATGCTAGAGAAAAGGCTCAGCAGACACCAAAAGCAGCAAAGTGGAAGATGATGAGGCATTCCAGGCACCAGAGCAGAGATTTCCCTATAGCCTGTGGAGATACTGTGGTTGTCTTTCTGCAGCCTGTGGAGGACCCCACACCAGAGAAGGTGGACCTATCCTGAGGGAAGCTGCAGCTTAAGGAGAGACCATGTAGGAGCAGGGTCCTGGCAAGAGCTGTAGTCTGTGGAGGGGAGACCACATGGAGCAGGTTTTCTGATAGGAGCTGTGATACATGGACACTAGAGCAGTTTGTGAAAAGTGCTCACTGGAGCACTTTGTGAAGGTCTGAGTCCTGTGGGAGTGAGCCCATGCTGGAGAAGGGAAAGAGTGTGAAGGGAAAGAAGTGGTGAAGACAAAAGATTATGAACTGATCAGAGCTCTCCATCATCCCTGTACTTCTTGTAGAGTGGGGAAGAGGTAAAAGATTTTGGAACAAAGGAGTGAAGTTGAACCTGGGTAGAAAGAGTAGGGTAAAAGGAAAGTGAGTTTAGTTTTGTCTATTTCTCTCTATCCTACTTTAATATATTTTTAAAATTAGGAATAAACTAAATTAATATTCTGTAAGTGAAGTCTGCTCAGCCTCTGATGGTGATTGGTGAGTGATCTCCCTGGCTGTAATTCAACCCACAAGCTTTTCCATCTAATTTTCACCCCACTGTCTTGCTGGTGAGGAGGAGTGGGAAAATACCTGGGTGGGAGCCTGGCAGTCAGCCAAGGTCATTTCACCACAGAAGTTTATCATTTCATCACATCAGATAAATCCTTTCTCATTCTTCCCAGTTCTGCTGTATTATCTAGGACATGATGTGGGTGGGTGGTATTGACTTTGCTGAAGTGCTAATCCAGCCTTTGTCAGAGTCCTTTGAAGCTGATGTCTGTTCTGTGTTAAGATCCTAAGCCACCAAGGCTGCATGTTTTGACATGGGGATGGAATATATGTAAACTCTTCCAAATTGCAATCTTATTTCTCATCAGTGGGCAAGATTTTTTTCAGAATTGAGTTCCATGTTTAATATTTGAATCCAGCTTATGCATATTTATCTGCAAATAATCACCCAAGCTCATTTTCAGAGGGGTGTTAGTGAACTGCTTATGTAGATTTTCTGCATATAGAGCTGCAGATTTTGCAGCTACCAGAATTCACATTTTAAAATGTGGTCATATTAGTGTAAATTACAGTGTTAGCATATGCTGAAATTTCAAGGCAAAATGATGTATGTTAAAAGGTAAGATTCTAGAAAGTTACACAAACTATGATGGCATTTATAGTATATGAGAGAGTAATGTTGATATTGTGAAAGTAAACAAACAGTTTAGAGAAAGATCCCTATGCATCTTGTAGGTATGCACAATGACAGACTGGAATTTGTATTTGAAGGGTAAAAAATTAAAATATATAGACTGCAGTAGTGTGAAGGTGTTATATGTTATACTACCATACCTACTCATGGTAGGACATGGGAGATTAATGAACTTTAAGGTGTCTTCCCACCCAAATAATTCTATAATTCTGTAAAATAATGCTTGGCAGAATTTGTAGTAGCGCCTATAAATTTGAATGATGATGGTAAAAAAGCAGATTAGACTATATAATCTGAGAGTAATTATCTTTTATTTTTTCACAAACTTTTTAGCACAGGAGAAGATTCCAGACAAGGGAAGCAAATATCGTGTAGTAATAAATCTTTGCATGATTATCCAAAATGCACAGGAAGTAACATGAAACACAAGGTACAAGTCTGCAAGGGCTGCCATGTGCACAAAAAGTGCAAGGAAATCTTATGTGACCATACCAATAACAAAAACAGAAATGCACATAGTGACAGCAACATGAAGTAGGATTTTTTTTAACACAAGTATAATGAAAGAGAGCAGTTTATGTAAGTTATCAGACTAGTGCTCTCTACTCTCATACTTAATACTACTAAGTATACTTTTTTAGTTTTGGTTGGGATGGAATAGTAACTCTTCATAGTCGTATGGGGCTATGACTTTTCACCAAAATAACATCGATAACACACTCATGTTTTAGGTGTTGTTGAGCAGTATTTACACATCATCAAGGCCCTTTTGTTTTGTTTCTCACACTGTCTTGCCAGCAGGTAGGCTGGAGGTGCATGAGAATTGGGATGAGATACAGCAGGGACAGCTGACCCCAACTGAAGAGAGGGATATTCCACAACATGTAATGTCATGCTCAGCAACAGCATCTGCACAGAAAGTAGAAGATATTAGAAGTAATGCCATTTGTGTTCCCAAGTAACAGTTATTAGGCATTGAGCCTTGCTTTCATGGGAATATCCAAACATCTGCCTGCTGACAGGTACACCTGCATTGGCTGACAAAAATTCTATCTCAACCCCCATATTTTCTCACCTCTACCCTCACCCCACAGTGGGGAGTGAGCAAGCAGCTGGGTTGTGCTGAGCTGCCAGCCAGGGTTAACCCACAGCAGTGCAGAAACTGAAGGCATTTTAGGAAGTGGTGCAAAAGTACTGTGTGGGCTCACATTCTCTGAGCTGTCATGATTCCCATGGAGCATTAGGTGTGGCACTTGGTTTTGGCCTCCTTATTTAGAAGCACAAAATTAGAATGTGCCTCCTAATACCTTGATGGAATGAGAACGTAATTGCATTTAATTTATGAAATATGATGATGCTGTTTGAAATACTGAAAAATTTAAAAATACCATGTTATTTCTTCTTGTAGCTCTGGTATGGCTGAGTAAGAAATAAAAACCTTTGTCTTCCATGAACATAAGAAACTTGTGCAAAGCAGTTGAAAGTTTGCTGTTTCGAAGAGATAAATCTGAGTTCTAAAGATCCTGCTAAAGGCTTTCTGGTTTTAAGGTGGTGACTGTGTTACACTTGGTCTTTATGGTCTTAGGAGAGCAGTCCTCAAGTGTGTGTTATTGAACATGAGGTCATTTGCACAGCTCTTGGAAATCTGAGTATTTGACAGAAATGGCTTGGTTATGACCAAAGTTGCTGCTTCTGAAGTGGCTACATTTACAAACGCAACCCATGCAGCAGCCAGACAAAAGGGTGTGGGTTTTTTCAAAGACAGATTAATATCAACAGTTAGAAACTATCATTTTGATTCTATGGGATGCAATAAGTGAGGTGAATATGCCTGTATATTTATGAAAAATATTCATGATAGCATGAAATGTACCCTTCTCAGATATTTGGTGACAACTTCTTTGTGAGTCATCAAATAGGTTTTTGCTCTTTTATCTTGAAAAGACCACTAATTAATGTACTAGATCAATACAAAAAAGTCATGGACCTGCTGGATTGGGTCCAGAAGAGGGCCACATAAACATTCAGAGGGCTGGAGCACTCATTCTATCAAGAAAAGCTGAGGGAACTGGGGTCATTCTGGAGAAGACAAGGCTCAAGAGAAATCTTGTGGCAGCCTTTCAACATACAAAAGCATAAATAAGATAGATTGAGAGAGTCTTTCTCACCAGGGTCTGAAGCATTATGAGCAGAGGCAATGTTTTTGTTCATTGTTTAATTCAGAATACACATCATAAAGGTAAAGGTTTTAGCACAGGATTTAGGTTTCAACATCCATAACAGATCTAAAACCCACAAGTTAAGAAAGTCAGTTAGTCATGGTGCAAACTCAGTCTCTTCAGGCAACACTTTCCTAAACATATTGTTTCTCATCTAGAGGACCATGAATCTGCTAATTCTTCAACAATACCTAAATACATAATTACTCAAATTATTATAGTGCTAAATTTAAGATGCCTTTAGCCATAGGTGTTTGTAAAAAAATAGTACAATTATTACTCCTGTGATACATAGATAAAATTCACAAGTCATTTGTTCTTAACACTGGATATGTTTACAGTTGATAAGATTTTACTTAATTATATGGCTTTGATAATTAGATATTTTATAGTGCTAGACAGAAAACTAGCTAACAATATAAACTGTTTATTTCAACATGGACCTATGGCACAGATCATAAAAATATGCATTTTTATTTTTACACCAGCTTTTCAGTATTTGAGAACTGCTTCTTATCTTCCACGGGTCAGTTTTATAAGAACCTTAATAACTGATATTAGTATGATTTGTTAGAATGTTTCTTTCCTCTTGATGTATCAGTTTGTTTATAATATTGTGATTATGACTTGACCATTTAGCTACCAAAAAATGTCAGTTTGCATTTTGAAAAGAGGAGGCTGATGATTATTTGTAATAAGATCCCCTTAAGAAAGAAGCCATAATTTCAGCATTACAAAAATATGATTAATTTACCTTCCTCACTATCAGCAGCAACTTTCAGTTTGGATATTCACTTTGGCATTTTCTGTATGGACATAAATCTTTCTGTCAGAAAGATTGAGTAACCTTGTATCTTGAGTTCAATTTGATGTGAAAGCACAATGCACCAAGGACAAATTTCTTAAGATAAATAATCAAGCAAAAACCCATGAAATAGCAATTTAATTTCCAAAAAACAAAGCAAATACTCTAAGCATGGAATAATTCAGAGCTATAACTATCTTAAAAATTGTTGCTGACTTGAAATTTTGCTAATTATGTATCTTTAGAAATAGAAATAACATATAATAGTTGTTGAACAGTCCAAAATTGTGTATACTGATTAGCCAGAATTTTTATCCCTTTGATAGTCTACTATACTCATACTGTACATATAGCAAAATGATCAGTTTGCCATGTTCCCAAATCTTAGTATTTTAGTTCTGAAAAGCAAAATGTCAGCAATAGATTAACTGAGCCTTGTTTTCTCCCTCTCCCCTTCCCTGCGGAGATAAAGAATATTGTGAATTACTTAGTGTGGAGATGCCATTTCTTGTATAGTTTTGTAAAGTTCTTTTATCTCTCTTTACTTCCATTTTGTGGATGTCTCTTTGCATCCCTACCAATCTTGCTATATATTGAGATATTAATCCTATATTTTTTATTTGCAGAACTGCAGTCTTAAAGAAACCCATTTTTTCCTGCTGTTGTTCAACAACAATGGTTCTGAACTTAAGTCCAAGATTAATAGCTTCTTGTACAAGCTTACAAACTAATGTCTCACTGCCCCTTAGGAAGAGTATTTCACAAATATACAGCCATACAAGCATCTTTCAGTTCCTCAAACATATACTTTATAGCTTGGCTGAAACTGTTAATAATGGGAGAAGACATAAGAATCTTGACCATTATTCTATTCTCAGCACCTCACTTATTAGTTTTAAATTTTGAGTATCCATTTCAATATTCTAGAAGGTTGCCTGCATCAAATATCCAAAGGTGCTAACCACTGTGCATTTATGTGAGTTCTTTTATTTGTAGTTTTTATAAATGATCCATAGGAAAGGGGAAAGGGATCATAAATGAACAAATAATACTAAGGGTTCTACTGTGAGTAAAACTGTGAAGGAGAGACTTTTAGATAACTTATGAGTCCTGTATTAATTGCTTAACATCTGAGCAACGAAGGAACTACTGACAATATTTACTAGCTATTAGTGGCAGTTGATGGGATTTAACCTTATTTTCCTAGGTGATTAAGTTCTGTTCATATTCAGTTTTACCCAGGCTTTATAGAACTCATCAGACAACAACAAACCCTCCATCAGGATTGTAAAATGGGAAGAATTCACAAGAAATGTGTATTTTTTTATTCTCTTTCCAGGTGAAGAAATGTATAACTTGGGTTAATGTTTCTGCTTTATGTAAGATTGTTGCTATGAATATCCAGTAAAAGGAAAAAAAAACCAAAACAACTCAATCAGACAAAACAAACCAACCAAACAAAAACCACCAGAAAAAAAAATCACCAAAAAAAGTTAAAGAAAGGTGTCTTTTTTTGGAGAAAGTAAATTTGGTCTGGGATTTTTGTATTTTTTGTAGCTCATTCTATGGTCTCAGAAGGCCCTCAAGAACATTCAGTCAGACGTTGGTTTTCTTGCAAGTGGTTTCATAATGTTATGGGTAAAACTGTCAAGAGAATATCCATTAACATCTTATCCCTACTCTCATTGAGTATCTTGCATATTGAGTAAAATATTGAGCCTGGTTCCATTTTTCATAGTATGACAATGCAAAGAGCTGTAGATCCTGCTGACGAGTTTATGCCACCTCAATACCATCTTCTTAAACCTTCCAATGTGTCACTAATTAGTGACACATTAGTGTTACTTCCTCATTAAAGGGTTTGAACAATTTTAATACATCATTCTCAGCCCAGTCTTTGTATTTCAGATTACAGAGTATCGCCATGAATGACTCTTGGATATAGGACCCAGGCACTTCTGAGGGTGCTATTCTAAACCTATAAAGTTCAGCTTTTGTCTTAAGGTGAGAATGTCACCCCTGGGAAAAGTCTGTGTTTCTGACCTCTCCCCATAGATGTTGGAGATGGATGCAGACATCCTTAGGCCATAAAGGGTCAAAAACTCCTCATATTCATGTGTGACTTAGAACTGTCTTCCACATTAGACAGAATTATCTCTAGCATTGCAAGACTATATATTTACATGAGTTGAACTGTAAAGTAAAAACAAAGAAAGAAGGAATGACAATCAATATGTAGGGAAGATGGTATAATGCAATTTATTGGAGGTTATAGCAAGAAACTAAACACTGACCTTGGTAAAAATGCAATGGATTTACAGAAGTTATCTAACATCTATATGACATTTTTACAGAAATTGTCAAAAATACATTTTACAGTTTGATCTCTGTATAGAATACACATACTGTTGTCATTAGGACTATATAAGGCACAGGTTATAAAGGTTAAAATTGTCAGAGCAAGGCAAGAATAGCAGAACAAACAACATTTTTTTTTGTCAGAGCAGCAAATAAAAAGACAAATAGCAGCATTTACTGAAGACAGAAATGCTACTAGAAGTGTTGGGGTCTTATTTCCATTGCTCAGAACAGAAAGTGCAAAGCTCCCTCTGAATATGCTCCCAGACACAGAAAGCAAACCACTCCACAACTGTACTGATTCTCTGTTGTGTAGCACCAGGAGAAGCAGAGTAATAAAGATTTAAAGTCTCACTCAATTGTGCCTGCATAGACTCTTATGCTCAACAGAAGATAAAAAAAGGCTTATTTTCTTCACTATGTTAATGTCTGTATAATATCTGGAATAGTTATTCTTCCCCATGGAAAGGCACTTTGTCATTAGTGTTGTTTTGATGACCCAGCAGTGGGTCATCATTGAAAAATGACTTTTTAACTTACAAAAGAAAATTTTCAAATGGGGCAGAAGTAAAAAAATATTCTTATAACATCAGAGATGGAAAAAAGAATGCTCTTATCAAGGTTATTCCCTGAGCTTCTGTTTATAAACACCCACTGTTCTCACAAAATTCTTATCATTGAACTTTATTTAGAATGACAAAGATATCTGTGAAATGAGCCTCCAGGTGGAGAGTTGAAGGATAGGATATAGCTACATTAAGGAAAAATTGTTATATGTAGAACTTGTGACAACAAGTGCCTTTCACTAAGATTGCTCAAGACTTTCAATAATATGGCTTTGCTTTCAGTTATTTTTAAAGTTGCTAAATTGTTTGAATCAAAGTCTTTTGTGCCAGGTGTCTGCCTCAGGCTGAATTTAATTTTTTTTTTCTTTGACATTTAAAAATGTGGCAAGCCCTTTTCTGCAAGAAATATATACCATGTAAGCAGGGACTGGGAATGTGGAAGTGAGGAGTGAATATTTCTTGTTTCTATAAGAACTTTACAAATTGTGTTACCAATTACATGGTAATTCCCTAGTAGATGCCTAATAGTGATTTATTTACAAAAATCCTCAAGAGATTTCACATGCCCTGAGATTTTACTTTGATTAAGTCTCTACATCTTGTGTTGACCGTCTCACTCTCTCTTCTGTTTACAGTAACTCTGCTTAGTTACAACTACTCAGGAAAAATCTGCGGGTGACTATAATAACCAAATACAGAAGAGACAAGAACTGAGAGAGAGAATAGGAGAGAAATTATTTAGACTGTATTAGCCTCAAGGAAAAAAAATCGAGGTGATGAAAATTGCCTGAAGGTGGATGATGAAGAGAACTGGAATCCCAGTAAGGAAAATGAAGAAAAAATAGGAAAATGGCAAGAGATTATGAGGATTCCAGGAATCACGCCAAATGGGTTAATCTTAGTAAATCATGTTTTTAAGATCTTAATCACATTTTCTATTTTTCTCTGAATTCAAATAGGCTCAGTCTTTCTTGAGTATAGCCATGGTACTCCAGATAAGGGTTTATTGATTTTTACCTATTTTAGAAGCTATATTTTCATTTATATGCTTTTGCATGATATTACTCATAAGAACCTGACTTCAATACCACATATGCAACCACACCTTGGGTCATTTTTTTAGCCAGCTGTCTCTTATCCTTTCTATTTGCAACTGAATACCTATGTCCTTTAACTTCTCCACTTTGACAGTGAAAAATTGACACTTTCTAACCAAATTTAATTTTCTTACCAGTTTCACTCCAGCCTTAAACAGTTTCTTCTAGGAAATGTTTTCTTTGGTTGTTTATTAGAATCTCACTGAAGACTGTCAAAAGTCTAGGGTTACTCATCTACATGAGTCTGTTAGCATGGAATAGAAACAATCAGATTAGCCTGACATGACTTGTTTCTGGAAAACCCCCATTCAAGATATAGATATAGATGGTACAGATATAGATGATAGATATAGATAGATATCGATATAGACATTGATGTGATATAGATTAGATATAGATATATATCAGTTAACTTCTAGAGGGTTTTCTATTGTGCATCCTCCCTTCTCTACTGCACACCAACCTGTTCTCATTTTCAGTCACTCCATAAACAAGGAAGATCCATATTTGGGACCTAAAATTCCTGAGTATTGTGATATTAATATGATGATGTTTATTGGAATATCTATTTTTGCACATTGAAAATCTAGAGAATTCTTTCAAACATATACAGAAGATATTAAATAAACAAAACAAGCACTCACAAGGTTAGAAATAGCAAGAGTGGGATTATTTGCTTTACCCTAATCTTCCTGTTCAAACATAAGCATACAGACTTTAACACAATGATACAATTATAATTTATGAGAATTTTTGTGAGTCATTCAGTAGTCCAGGTAAAAATACTATTTACCCACCCAGATTTATGCAGTGTTAAAGAACAGTATAGTTTTTATAACCCTGATGCATTTTTTGACTTTTAATGAAATTCTGCAAGACACTGATTTTCTTAGGACATGCTACTGAGCCCACCTTTAATTTGATGTCACCAGGCATGTAAAATAAGAAAGTGTCCAATTGAAGTTCCAGTTGAGAATGTGAAGTTTCATACAGCCTCCTTCTGCAAACTGCCTTTACTTTTTGTTGTATGTTTCTTTTTTTTTGCAATGTCTGGCGCATGAGTTCTAGTTTCAGGGACCACATCTGGGAACTACTATATTTAATTTAATAATCATCATTATCATTATCAAACAAGAAATTTGCAGTAAAGCTCAAAAAACATGTTATTCTAATTACTTTGCATCTTTTTTTGAGAGGAAAAAAACCCAACTGTACAATGATTTGTACATTGATCTACTTGCATTGATATACTTGCATTGATCTACTTGCTATATTAACACAGACACATGAGAAGCTATGACCTGATAAAACATAGAAAGGTGCTCTGTCTTCCTGTCAGCAGATGTACTTTACTAAAAAAGCATTATTGTCTTTTGTAAATATTCTACTAACATGGATGTCATGTTCGCAAACACTCCAGCATTACCTCCAATTTAAATAATTATTGCTTTTTCATAGATCCTTTTTGCCAAGTGGTTGTACATCAGCTGAAAATCACCTTTTTATCTCTGTTGATGTTGCTTTTATATTAAAAGTTCATGCATCAATAAAGTAATAGAGACAATGACCTGGTAGAAAGACAAAATGTGGACATGTTAACAATACTGTAAAATACATAGATACATCCTGAAACAATGGCCAGTCAGACAGAACAGAATTCTGCATTTCTTCAGGAAACTCCATTTTTCCACATTTGCAACCCAAGTACCAAATAACAGTACTTAATACTTTATATTAAGAGCAATGACTTAGGTGAAAAAATTTGCAACCTACCCAGTGTGTAATTTGTGATAATTGTATGGCATCTGTAAAGAAGGAAAACTTATTCTTTTGTAAAAAATGTGTGGTGTCCCTTCTATGACTGATCAATATGGTCCCCTGAATCTTTATAGGCATAATGCTCACATTTATCACCTGAATTACATTCAGCTAAAAACTAAGAATAGCAGTCTAATCACACATAAAATTTCCTTTCTGAGATTGTGTATGTTGCTTTAAAAAGAGCAATGGAATTACTTTTGTAAGTGACAACTGAATTCTAGGCACTCAGAGATTAAGGACCCAGAATTGTGTCCTCAATAATATTTTATTCTGAATTATTTTATAGATGTATATTCCACATTTTAATTACTCACGTTGCTTCACACCCTCCCTAGTGAACTACCTATATTTAAATTCCCAATGGGTTCTGTTCTCTCAGTTTCTCTTTTTATCTTCAAATATCTGCTGAATTCCCTGACTGCCCATTCTGAGAGGTTGTTAACGTCTCATGTCCACAACTTTTAGCTATTCCTGACTGAATTTTTCAGTTTTTCTGACATCTTTTGGCTCCTGGTGTCACATCTCAATGTCAGCTCTCCAGATTTCATTCACTTTCATCAGTCAAGCTTTTAAAGTCTCTGCCTTCAGCTGCAGTCCTATCATGTACCTGCCTTATTGTAAATGCCATTCCTAGGTCTGTATCAGTTTCTCTTCACTCCTTCAATACCCAGAGCTCCATACAGCAGCTATGAAATAATAAGCCCTACTTTCAAAAGCCCTGTAGAATCTATAGCTGCCAGAAACACATCTGCATGACTGCAAATGTTCCTATTGAACGAGATTCTGTCCTGTAAAATGCACAGGTAAATGATCTGAGAGGTACAGTGTCTCTGAAGCCAAATTTTCTCTCTTGCTTCACAGCAGCAACTATTATGTGAGCTCCAGCTGCATGCTAAGTCTGTTGGGTAAGAGAAAATGTGACACCACTTGTAAGAATGATGGGCCAATAATGCTAATGTTGACCTGCACTGCAAAAGGCTCCGGGGGAGGGGGCACTGCTTTCCAGTTGTTATTTAGTGCTGATAGTGGTGTTTGTCCCACTTGCCTCAGTGTTCAAGCCAAGAAATGAAATTAAGCCAATGCTCTGCTTATTCCTTGTTTCTCTCTGCTCCCACACCCCAGCTCCTGGTCACTCAAGAAGTGGCTCATGAATATTGTTGTGAACTGCAGAAGTAATTAGTTTTTCTAAGTCTGTCACTCATCTGGAAAATAATCATTATAAACAATCCACCTGCATACACTAAAGCAATTTTGAAATTTATTTTCATTAAGTTATTATTAAGCTAGAAAAGCAAGAAAAGGGAGTTTAATGAAAGACTTAAGCATGAAATTGAACTTTTCCATAATCTTGTATCTAGAGCAACCACTTCTTGATATGTAACTCTGAATTATGTTGTAATTGGGAGATAATTTCATGCAGTTTAACTCCATTTAAGCTGCCGTTTTTTCTTCTGAGACTATTTGCATTTTGGAGAAAATAGTAAACACATTTTTTTACAAGCACCTTGGAAAGCCTCTGCTCTTCACTGTGAAAGCAAATGAAAGGAATCCAACAAAACAATATACAGAAATACACAGAGCTGAAAGCAAGCATTCTTCCAGCTACAACTAATCAGTAAACAAAAGGACCTACCAGAAAACAACTCAGGAACACACCTTCTGATATCTCCATATCCTTTCTATTTTGGCATTGGCTCAAGATAGTTGCTCTTCTTGGAGTCTGCAAGGGAACTAGTATTTAATTAGAAACTCACTAAAAAACCTTTCTTCAGCGAAGGATTAGCTAAAAAACATAGTGTTTTAGCACATAGATACATCTTGAAACAATGGCCAGTCACACAGAAGAAAATTCTATATTTCCTGAGGAAACTTAATTTTTCCACATTTGCAACCCAAGTACCAAAACCCACTAACTTTTTTTTGAAGATGTGGTACGTGCAACAACTTTACTAAGCAGATTTTCAGCATTTCTTTTGACCTGTGCACAGTGAACAGGTCACATCAAACACATCAAACACTTCATGACAATGAAGCCTCAGACCCCAGAAAAAATGTCATTATGTAATTTCAGATTATCATAATCATGCGAGACATGCAATAGCCAGACATGACCAGAACAACCTTATCCTGATTTTGCCAGACTTATAAAATATGTTCATTACTTGGACAGAAAAACACTGCCCCATACTGTAAAATACTAACTGTGATCTCTTTTTTCTTTTCCTCTCTCACTGTACATCATTAGCTCAGTGTGCTGAAGCTCTTGCATTACAACAGCTTTCGCTTTTCACTAAACATGATATTTTCCATGCATTATCATCTTAAAAACTGGCCCTGGGGTCATCTAAATACCAGTAAAAGTGATTCTTAAGGTTTTTATTTTCACTCTGCTGGTGAGAAAATTCAGAAATGCTTGTTTGCTACTCCAATAGATCAGCAAACTCCTGTAACTTTAAATGCTACTGACAGCATTCAAGAACTGGAGCCATTATAACATGCTTATTGTCAAATGTGCCCATAGCAACACTCATCAGTGTCATCTGTTTCAACTCAAGTCCTATTTTCTCAATTGACAGAAAAAAGCCAATACACCAGTCACAACTGTTCCAATTTTAGTATGAGCTGAAGAATGATAATGTTCATATATTGCTTGTGCCAACATGTGATGCATTTCATCAAATTGAATTTTCAGGAATAAGGAATATGGTGACAGGCTTGCGTACTCTCTTCTGCTGTGAAACAAGTCAATGTCTATTACTTGTTTCTTTCTCTCTTATACTTTTTTAAGCTAGTTAACCAAAGAAAGGAGAGGTTAGGCAAGAGATTAGTCAATTTCTGTTACAGGAAAGCTAGAGCTCTGTGCTATTGAACTTTATGATGTTTATATGTTCCACTGTGAGTCCCTGTGTCTTTGTTTTTTCTGAAGGGAGTGAAAAACCATGAAATAGTCCTAAGAGAATATATCTGTAGCTAAAATAGTACATCCCAATTTAGGCCAAAAATGTGTGGATCAGCACTGTCACTGTTTTGGCATCCAGGTGTGTTTTTCATATCAATTTTTTTCCTAGTGCTTCATCAGAGGGAGGCCGTGACATTTTAGTCTTCCCAGATCCTAATGTTTTAGTATGAGCATAGGCTCCTCCATGTTTATGAGTGTTACAAAACTGAGGAAATCAGAGACATTTTTTTGTTAACATTCTTCCAAATACTAGGTTTGATATCTGCTCTTTTTCAGTCCTTTTTATTGGCTTTGCCTCTGTATGATGCATATTAAAGAGGGATCATTTGTCTTGCTAAATAGTTACCTTTCTGTCACGTTGTTAATGTATAAGCCTATCTTTGGTGGGGAGAATAACCTTACCAGTGCTAGACATTGGTTAGCACTTGAGGTTGGGATGACACATGGCACACAAACCATAAATTCATCCTTCTCTGAATATAGGAGAGCATTTAATGAGCATGCTTTTTAATAGAGGTTAGGGACTGACTTTCCCTTAGGAATCCGTGCCATTAAAATAATGCCTAATTCTCAAAGTATTACACTGGCCTGAAACTCAAAGGAAACATAAAATCTATAGCTCTTTTTAATGTATATGAATCTCTGTTTATTTAATATTTAGATATCATGGCATATCACTTGAGGGTCCAAGACTGCACTACAAAAAAAAGACTTTCCATTCTTCCCAAACTCTTTCTTCCATTTTTTGCTTACAGTCATCAAAAGAAGGTATGAGAAAGTGCAACAATGCATTTTACTCAGAGTTGGTTTCAGGCCCCTAATGGAAAAGATGTTACTCTTGATTCTGTCTGATCATGCCAAAAAGCAAACCTCTGTCTTTCAAAACAGCCTTCACCTAAGAATTAAACTTTGGTCGTGAAGATTTTTTTGCAGAGCATATCAGTCATTCAATATTCTGGACATGTAGCACAAACTGGACTTAAATTTCACATCAAGCATGCATCAATAAACCTGAAGTTTCCCAGAGGTGTAGTTAATAGTTGTTCTGCAACTGCTGAGTTAGAAATCAAGGGAATTCTTTTGATGATTTAGATGGTCAGTCGCTTTTTCATAAGTCAGGTTAGAAAAGGTTTGCTGAGTAGTGGGGAATTCTGCAAGTTTTAATGTCTGTCCTTTTCCCTTAACTGTTCACCACCTCTTAAGGCAGAGGTTAGGGGCACTCTCTTAACATGCCTTCTGGTACAGTACATGATACTGCACCATGAAAAAAATTCTCAGTTAATTGTGGTTTCTTAGAACTGAAAAGGGATCCAGTGCACTCCCTCATGCACCTCACTTCAGACACAGGCAAGTGCTTTCCATAGCACAGGGTATGCACTAAGCCCCAGCTTTTAGCTGGCTCTTGTACTCTTTTAAACCCCGTCAGAGTGAAGACTTTTCTCTCCCTTAATGCTAAACTTAGCACTAATTGCAGTGGGATGAAAAAGAAAATAAAATGGTAAAACCACACATTGCATTGGGAAGTGACAAGTGAAGATCCTTGAGGACTATCAAAACTAGTTTCCATGTTTATTTCATTTGAATAAGTTTGGAATAAACCAATTTGATTTTAAGAGCACATCACTCTTCTTTGAATAATGTGGCCATAATTATCTTACAAAAGTATATATCTGTTTATATATATATATAAAGACATCTCCAACATCTATGTATATATGATCTGACAATGTACACTCCCAGCCAACTGTATCCTGGTCTGCACTGAAAGAATCATGGACAGCAGGCAGAGAGAGTGATTCTCCCCCTCTATGGCACTTTCCTGAGACCTCAGCTGGAGTACCACATCCAGCTCTGAGGCCCCTCAGCATGAGAAGGACATGGACTTTGGAGCAAGTTCATGGTGCAGGAGGCCATGAAGATGATCAGAGGGCTGACACACTTCTCAATGAATACAGGATGTGAGAGCTGGGGTTCTCAGCCTGAGAAGAGAACACTACAGGGAGACCTTATAGCAGGTTCCAAGTACATAAAGAGGCTACAAGACAGAAGAAGGGGGTTCTTTTACAAGGTAGTGACAGGACAAGGGGGAACGGTTTTAAACTGAAAGAAGGTAGGTTTAGACTAGATGCTAGAATGTGAGGATGGTGGGATATGGAACAGGGATGTTGTGAATGTCCCAACCCCAGAGGTGTTCAAGACCAGGCTGGATGTGGCTTTGAGCAATATGGTCTAGTGGAAGGTGCCTCTGCCCATAGCAAGGGCATTGGAACTGGATGATTTTAACGTTCCTTCCAACCCAAACCATTCTATGATTCTAGAAAAGGAGGCATCTCTACAGCATTGTTTACCTGCTATATTTTAAATTTCTTCATCTAGACAAGTTGGATTTGCCCAAGAAAAACCTGTTTGCATAACCTATGAAATCTAAACGATAAGCTGAAATGTAGATATTTACATAGTAAATACCTCTGTGTAACCAGATAATTATGACCCAGAATTTCTCTCCCTCCTTTCAATTAAACTTTGTAATCTAATTGGTACTTTATTGCATGTAAACTGTTTTGCTACCACAAGTAACATTGTTAACATGGATCTGTTATACACCAAACAATCAAAGATTTTTATGAATTATCACTATTCTTTTGCATGAACGAAGCAAAAATACTAAATATGGCACCACTGATGGCACTTAAATTGAGTACCTGCTTCTATGTCCTTCATTCTCTGCTTTATGCATACTGCTTCTGGGCACTCTCACATTTATCTCTGTCTAATAACAGACTGGAAGATGCTGAATCAAGCAGGATTAGATGTATATCTATATTATGTATATACACCTTTATGTACCTTCCTTACTGTACTGCTGTTTTACCTTCCATTATGGAGCAGAAGGTCATTGATGATTGTGTAGTATGTGATCCTCTAATTCCATATCCTTCCAAACAGAACTGCCATTTACTCAATTTTTTCCTTTATTAAATACAAACCCTAGGTTGCATTTCTGTGGTTGTCTGAAGACTTTCTCATCTCTAGACAATGCCATTAGTTCTGAGACTGCTTTACACACCTAAAGAAGGCTCAGATGACTACGAATGCATTATCCTTTCTGAGACCTTTTAAATGCTTATTTTCCTTATTTAAGATTATTTTTACCCCATTGGTTGCTAATAGGCAATATGAAATTGTTGCTGGTATTGACAGTACTAAATCCTAGTGAAAACTGTCACAAAGAGACCATTTAAAACTATCACTGGCTAGTGGTTTAGTATCAGACCAAGCCTCTCCTTGGCCCATTGTTTGCATCTGACTATTATGATCCTTCTAGGATGATACTTTCTTTACTGATTGATAGTTGCTTCTTTTCCTTCTTATGTCCTTTTCTTTGTAATTTTGTCTCTACCCACCTGTGCTATACCTTTTAATTCTTCCCTAGTAACCTGAACTTAACTCTATGTTTTATATTTCTCATTCTCTTATCCGAGTTCTTTGGAGGGTGAATGAGTGAATCAAACTGATCTCTTGATAGTCTTCCTATTTTTCCTCTGCAATTAGCTAATTTTTAGCTATGCTATTGCTTTTATTTCTTTAAAAGTAACAACGCTATTTAATAGTTTTGCGTTTGGTTACTCTCTTTGAAAATATACCCTTATACTTCTCTAAATTGATTGAACTCTACTCTTTCTTAGAATTTTTCCTGCCCTAGAGTTATGAAGAATCATTTTCAGCTCGTCTTAATCAAGTTACCTTCCAGAATGACAATCTTAAACAGTTTCTCTTTACAAGTTTTAATCATATCTAGAAGTTTTCTTCTCATTTATCCTTTTTCCAGTAGGAAAAAAGTAGCTCTAAAACAAGAGTAGCAAAGTGCTGCACTTAGTGTTCCTGACATTCTTTTTAGCTTCTGTGATGAAACATTGCAAGTCCTGATACCTGTAAAGAAAAACCTTAAACAGAAAACCAGTTATACTGAAAATAAACTGAAATTAAAGCATTAAGAAAATAAAAAAAACAAATCCCAAATATATTCATAATATAAATTTTAAGATGTTTATGGGATACAAAATTTAAGGGCTTGAGTGCCCATTATGGATTTAGCAGTAAAAAACTCTTAGAAAGATTAAATGAAGCTTTGTAAGTTCTGATGTAGGGAGATTGTACTTTGAAAGTGGAAAACATTTTTAATATATATTTGTTATCCTAAGAATAAAATCTCTGACAGCTTTTGTTTGTTCATATTTGAGGTTAGCTAAGATTTTAGATGTCCAGCATAGAACATGTTTCTCTGTCTAATTTTTGAAGATTATGTAGACTCATCTTAAACAGTAAGAAAACTGAAGTGCTTGTCTTGAAATTTAAAAGGATGATTTTATCTTTGCCAATGTACACGCAAATACAGGAACTCAGTGGATTCCCAAGAACCAGTACATCAACCAGGCATGCATCTGTCAAATATTTCTGAAAATACAATGAAGCAAACTGTTAAAATTTAATGGTTTTATTGGTAATAAAACTCACATAAGGAAAGATATTAAAAACTCTCTTCATCTTCTGAATTTCTGTGAAAACCACCTGCACTGGAGCAGAGTGAGTAAAACCTCATTTCCTCTATCTGGAGCAAGGACATTTCTCACCAAACTGAGCCACTGCCATGCACCACCATTCCTCTTCTTGTTTATCTCTGTGACCCATGCTACCCTCTCCAATTTGTGGACTTAGAAGAACCTGGACATACTCTTGGTTTAGTAAATTGTCCCCCTAATTTTTTTCTAACACTACCCAAGAGTATTAAAAAAATACATTAGAATTTATTACCTGATTAACATCCTTTTCTGTGCACAGACATCTGAGACATCACAGACATCCCATAACAGTCTGGGTAGGAACACTTACATAATGTTATGGAGTTAGAAAATCAGGAGAGGTTTTAGGAGACTAAAGTTGAGGCAAAGAAAATTAATGTAACATAAATGACCTAGACAGATGCCTCTGATTTCTCTCATAACAACCTTCTACCTTTTCTTGAGTAAGATGGAACAGCTTTTACAAAACTTAGCAGTTTAAATAAGCATTTTGTCAGAAAAACAAATTTAAAAAATCTTTTATTTTTTCTGTACAAGCTGCTTCTTATTTAAGTTTTTCAAAGCACTGGAGAAAATTATTTCAGTAATTTTATCTTACATTTAAAGACAAGAAACTAAGATTGAGAGTTCTGAAGTAGCTTGTCATTACATAAAATGTTAGGAAACAAACAAGGAATTTGACAAGGTGTTCAAAAATGTTATCTCCCTTTCTCTCTATTCATCTCTCCCTCTGTTGTTTCTGCTTTTCTTCCCCCTGTTCCTTCCTCTCTTTGTCTCTTAGCTATGCTCTCTTTATGTTAAAGTATATATCTTCCTGTCAGCAAGAATTTACCATAATTTAAAAGTGATAACACTAATTCAAATGAACAAATACTCAACCATCTCATGTGGCATAAATGTCAGAAAGGAAATGATCAGAAAATTGCATGTAACATATAAAATGCAAATGTAATATACAATGCCCCATGTGGAAAATGAAAATGCTGAGCTCAATTCTTGCCCTTCACCTGCCTTTTACTTTGACTACTGCTGCTGAAAAATTAAGTCATAAACTCTTCTCAATCTCATCTCACCATGATTTACCAGAATGGTGAAGTACTGAGGCAGCTGTTTTCTGTCAGAGCAAAGAGAAAATGAAGTTTCATAATAAGCTGTTCTATCATGTCCACCTATTCTGCAAATACTTTCACTTGTATTATCTGGCAAAGAATACACTTCTTTCAGCTTTCTCCTGCCATTAATCCCTATTGACTCTATCAACAACTTCTCCTGCAACTAACCACTAAAAATTTGAACTTGCAGTACAGATTAAAAGTATTTTGTTTTCCTTATGAAAAAAAAAAAGTGGTTTTCCTACTTTTCCTGCTCTCGGCTGTTGTTCCTTCCCTCTTCTCCATCTGCTATTAAAAATATTCCAAAGTCCTCAGAAAATGGTTGGGCTTTTTTTCCTTTGTTTCTGAGTAAAATATGGAGCTGTCCAGGTAATATACTTTTATACATTCTGTCAAAATCCCCATTGGACTGCCTCATTATCTGTTATGTTGCAACTTTATAGAATTTACATTTTCTAGATTGATTTTTTTTTTTTTTTAATGTCCTTGGTGCCTATCTCAGATCAAACCTATTTTTATTCTATTTTTTTTAGGTTAGCCAGAGCAGCTCAGTAATTTCAAAAAGTGGTGCCTGTTTAAAATTTCTGGAGATCTTAGTCCTTAATGACTTTAATACTCTTAGTGTGGCATAAGGCTTAGAAATGGAGGAATGGCTGCATTGTCTCAAAAGAGTGCTTTTTATTCTTGTCATGAAAGCCTGCTTTGAAAAAGTGCAGTGCAAGAATCATTGGTGGTAATTAGATGCAACCATTAATGGTTCTGTCCTCCTGGATGGAGCCTGACCCTACCATAAAGCCACATCATCAATGGCAAGGTCTTTGTCAAGAGCTACACTGGAAAGACCTTTTCCAACACCAGCCACAGCCAGGGGGTGGGGAGTAAGCCAGGCATATTTGTGTCTCTCCATGATTTGGAGTAAAGGATCCTCCTGAAGGAGAGTGTTGTTAAAATGGGATATTAAAAGCAGAAGTCCAGAATATAGGAAAAAAAAAAGAACTGGATTTGTTATGCTCATTAAGACTGTAGCTCCAGAAAATGAGATAAACACTGGAGAAGAGTTCTGATCTTGATCCATGGGGGGTTTCAATGGACAAAAACAAAGAGGGAAGACAGCCTGTTAAAGCATACAGGGTAATGGCTCTCTGGAACATCTGGCACAGGCTCCTTTCCTCAGGAATCTCATCCCTGTCTATTTTCTAGAGACTCCAGAGGCTTACCTCAAAGCTGTGGATTGAATTTGGCATTAAGATATTCAAACATCAGCTTTTGCAATGATCTTTTTCCAGTCTTCCCACCAGAGCATAAGATATTCAAACATCAGCTTTTGCAATGATCTTTTTCCAGTCTTCCCACCAGAGCAACTGTATTTTTTTCTCCTGTATTCATATCTCCCACATCAGGAACACCATCAGACTAGCTGGAAAATCTGGATCTGTCAAATCTTGACTAATCACAAAGTCAGAACTGAGTGCTTGTTCTGTTGATGACTAGTTAAAGTTCATGCTGTTTGGTATGGCAGAAAGGAGAGTCAGAGTTAATCTAAAGTGGTAGGAAAATTTCTACATAGCTCCTTTAAGAACTCTTTGTTAATGTTTTTGTGCTTTGTCCCCGTTTGATCAGAATTCATCATCTGAGTAAAAATAATTACAGCATGCTCATAATGCTTCATTGGTTTTCAAGTCCACACATTATTGACCAGATTTAAACAGAAGCTTGTAATTAAGTGTCCTTTTCTGAAGATGTGTCTCTGAGTGACTTAGCACTTAAAAGCAGGATTTGCAGTACATGTTTGATCAAAGAGAAACATGCTTATGCCAACCAGTTGGAACTGATAAAAAAAAAAAAAAAATCCCAAAAATGCAGTTTTCATCTTGATATTGTCCAGATACAACTGAAAGGCACATCTCTAATTCTCAACTGTCTGCCCTCATGGCAACTGTGTCTCTGTGACTTTTAAAAATCTTTTTAAGAGAGGCAGTAGCCCTAATGTAAATTCCTATGGGATGGAGCAGGTCCCGAGCCTGTCAGTTGACCTGCCTAACTTTGTTGCCAGAATAAGTTGAACTCCTTTGGATTTAGGCTTAAATTTCCTATATAATATTTTGGATGTTTCCAGACAGGACTTT